TATACTTTCATTTCACTCAAATTCACTGTCATTTCACTGTCACTTCACTGTTTTATACTTTCATTTCACTCAAATTCACTGTCATTTCACTGTCATTTCACTGCCATCACACTGTCATTTCACTGCCATTAGATTGTCAGTTCACTGTCATCTAACTGTCACCTCACTGTCACCTCACTGTCATGTCACTGTCATTTCATATCTAGTTTGCAAGCCATTTTACTGCCATTTCATCACACCATCAGTGTAGGTCATTTCACTGGCATTTCAAGTTCACGGCTCGTTTCACTGCTGCTAGTACACATTTTAACCATTCATTGCCATTTCACTAAAGCTTCACATTTCGATCATTTAATCAAATTTTACAATTTTCCACTGCCATTTTATTTTTTCATTCCATCCGTACACTAATCTTCATTATCATTAGCATCATCATCAGTAGTATCATTATCATCACCATATGAGGGACGCTGCGCACGGTTCTCAGCAAGTTCGGTTTAAAATAAAAAAAAAAAAAAAAAAAAAAAAAAAAGTGCTCCACATGTCAGTCAGTCAGTCAATGCGATCACACTGCAATGTGACATTTCCCTGACATTTCCCTGACCATTTCCCTCCCATTTCATTGCCGTTCACTTCGAGTTCAACTTCAAAAAAAAATTGTGTGCGTTATCGCCGCAAAGGAACCATGCATTCTCTGTACTTGCGGTTTTTTAACAGATGTTTTTTTCGAGGGTCAGGGTTTTTTTTTTTTTTTTTTTTTTTTTGTGCAATAATACGTGAAGCTTTAAATTGTGTATGTGTGTGTGTGTGTGTGTGTGTGTTTGTGTGTGTTTTGGCTGATGTCGTCTCTTAGGCATATTTCTATTTCGTAACGAGAGAGACCCCACCCACACACCTTTCACCCTTCGATAATATTCCCTGGCGCACCCCCACTCCCACAATCCTACTTCACTGAGGACCATCACTCTTCTACCAGAATGCCAGAACTGACCTGACCGTACATTGGTCATGAATACCACCGCTGAGTCAGACAGGGATCGAGACGGGATCGGGATCACCCCGTTAGCACTGGTCGCGGCACAGTCCAACGACCCTCGTCATATGGTTACCTCGGATGCTACCATGCTACCGTTTTCACCCGAATACAACGTACCCTCATTATGAATGTATACAAGCTACATTTCCGGCCTGATTCATTCGTGATAACGTTGCGTTCAGGGGAAGATGGTAGACGTGACCCGATTTCTACTACAAGCCCTAAGCTTTGAGCAGACCCAAGAGTGCCCCCAAGAGTGCCCCCCCAAGAGTGCCCCCTCGTAACAGCTGTCAGAGCTGTCTAGAGAGACCGATAGGCCCCCGGGGCTACACCAATTAAGCGATATTGACCGTAGATTGCAAAGATCAACGGCCATAATCTCTTAATCCGTGCAAGTGGGACCTTGCCCCCGGTCATTCCAGATCTTGCCATTTGTCCGTCAGGCCCAGCCCAAATCAATAACGATTGTTATCTTTTTTTTTTTTTTTTTTTTTTTTTTTGATCGAATTCGAAAGTAATTAAAAAAAAAAAAAATAGTAATGAAATTAGGGAATACAACGTCGTCCTTGGCTTTGAATGGCGCGCTGTTCCTTAGGAAGAAAACGTTTTTCGTTCCCCCCCACGGACGACAGCATTCACAGAGGCTGAGCTCTGAGTTCAGAGTCCACGACTACCGTCTTCCGCCGAACATAACGACCCCTAAAACTAAAAATGAATGTATACAAGCTAAATTTCCAGTTCGGTACAGCCGTAATCAGCGTGCGTTGTGTTCGAGGGCCCCCGGTTCTCATTGATAAGACTACAATGGACTCGAATCGTCACTTGTAATTTTTTTTTTTTTTTTTTTTTTTTTGGGACAAATGCTCCAATCTATTCGTGGGGAGCAGCACGTGCTGGAAACCGGGGGCCAAGTCCCACTTACGTTGGTTCTTCATTTCTGGCCGTTGATCTCCGTAATCTACGGTCAGAAATTGACAATTTGGGTAAGTGGGACTTGGCCCCGGGTCCAGCATCCATAAGAACATTTCCGCTTCAACAAGGGGATCTTTTTTGAGAAAAAGTTAAGAGGACCCCCCCCCCACAACAGGAGGATCTTTTTTGAGAGAAGTTAAGAGGACCTCCTCCCCCTGCCAGCATTGATTACCTTAATACCCTGGAATCCAGGTGGTAATTTGAAAATTAGAAATGACCAGATTCATTCGCAGTGGGGACCACAACAGTCGAAGAAGAGGAGGAACAAAGACGGCGGAGAATGAGTCTTGGAGGAGGAGAAGGGCAAGCAAAGGCCGATGAAAATGAGGAAAAAAACAAGAGCCTCAGGACGAAGACGAGAAGTCGAGAAGTACAATCGAAGAAGAAGACGAAGAATTGAATTCATTTGCATTGAGGTGAATTGAATTGGAATAGCGACGCCAATGCTACGTATCCATGCATACGAACAGTTTCTTCTTCACTCCTGCACGGACATAACCACCATAGCTCTGAAGAAGAAGAAGAAGAAGAAGAAGAAGAAGAAGAAGAAGAAGGGCGGGGGGGAGGGGGGGAGAAAGGAGGAGGAGGAGAAGGAAGAGGAGGAGAAGGAGGAGGAGGACTTTTTTTCAAATTTTCACCGACTTCTGGACGTAATTGCGGTCAGGTGCACCCGCGTCTGACTGTACTTGGGCAAGATACATGTCAGAACATTCAACTGCGAATCGGCCCTCCGAACGCGCAGTTTCGCTAACCCGTTCCAACAGGCCGCACTCCGGTCACGTCAATGCGCAATCCGGATCCCGACCTTTCGGCTCCACCGTTCGTTCTTCCACTGAAGCAGCAGAAGAAGAAGAAGAAGAAAGAAGAAGAAGAAGAAGAAGAAGCAGAAGAAGAAGAAGAAGAAGAAGAAGAAGAAGACGATGATGATGATGATGATGATGATGATGATGATGATCATTAAACTGACCGTGTGGCTTTGCAGGGTGTCCTTTGATGATCTCCCTGTAGAAAGTCACCTGTTGCCTTGGGGCTCCGCCGAGACGTAAGATCCCGACACAGGAAGTCCCGACACGTCGACTGGGGTCGGATCGGATATGGATACAGTGATAGCGGTGGAGATGACAGTCGTCGCGGGTGCCACGTGGCAATAACGTCTGCGGTGGCATTTGTCATCGAGAAACATGACGGTCGTCGCAGCGTCACGGTTCCATCTCCATTCTCAAGTCCTCTCTTGGGGGTGCCACGTGGCAATCGCAGAGTGCTCGGTAGAGCTGCCACGTAAGGCGCTGCGCTCTGTGCCATGGTCGAAATCTTCCCACTGGTACCGGCCTCGTAGGTGGCCGAGTGGAAACACGGCTGAGTCCGGTTCAAATCCTACTGCCAGTGAGGCCCCGGTAACGACAAGGGACAATTGCAGGAATGTCCTCGGAAGTTTCTGGCACCGAGCCCGGCGAGAGTATCATGCACGAGAGCCACTGCTGTAAAACCCTCCTCGCAATATTGTTTTTTTTGTTTTGTTTTGTTTTGTTTTTCTCCTCACAATATTGTCCTAGCTCTGTAACGTCACTTTATTATATCATCACAGGCTGGGAAACGGGCCCACCGTCTCTCACATCAATAACCACGGCCTGCGGGTATGAGCCAGGATCTCCGGCCAGGCTTAACCCCACCGCGGCTGAGGACCACACACAGTTATCACCCTCTCTCACATCAATAACCACGGCCTGCGGGTATGAGCCAGGATCTCCGGCCAGGCTTAACCCCACCACGGCTGAGGACCACACACAGTTATCACCGCCGCAAGCTCCCTTATACCACACAGCCTATGACAAACCACAGGAATCGCAAAAAAACTAAGCTCCCTTATACCACACAGCCTATGACAAACCACAGGAATCGCAAAAAAACTATCTTCGTAAAACCCAAAGTATGTACCACGTACCCTGGAGCATGGTCCCATTAGGGGCCTCGATGCACTACTCCAGACTCTCGAAATATTTCGAGAGTTCTACTAGCATTGTCAGAGAGGCAAAACTCTCGAAATACACGCCTTCGCTGCACTTACTCTAGAACCTGTGACACTAGATGAACTCTCTAAACCCTTGGCGTTGTCTTACTTGACTGAAGAGCTGCACCACTGCGCTAGGGGACAAAGGACAGGAGGTCCACTCTCAAAAAAGGAGCCTGTTGGCGGGCAACTCCCGAGGACACTTGCAAATTCGGTTTTTGCAGGCGGGAGACTCTCGACGTTTCGAGAGTGGCGTTGTAGCGTGGCTTCTGACAGCTCTCGATCAGGTTTTTCCCGATCGAGAGTAAGTGCAGTGAATATAGAGTAGTGCAGCGAGGCCCTAGCAGTCGGATAGGAGTCTGGCCTATCCAGTGTGACACTGAGTGGCAGCGGGCTGACAGGTTCATTACGAATTTCTGGGCTGCGAAAACAGGAGAAAAGCAAAAAAAAAAAAAAAAACGAAACAGAGACCTGCCACGGGAAATCACGGCAGAGTGCTTCCCAGCCATCAGATCACAAATGATCTGATGGTGGTGGTTGCAACAACAGTGAACAAAGTATATGCCAAATTTTCTGGAATAACTCGAGTTACTCGACTTCTGTCAGCAGTGATCCTGACACCCTCCATATATATACTCCCGTGATTGAAGGAGGGCTCCGCCCAATGAGATAATTGCACAACAGCAAGTAAAATACTGAAAATCTTCTATCCAGTGGGCCTATGGGCGACCACACCCTCTTTTGGGGCTGGCCACACCCCCAACCGATTGAAAGATTCTGGCGGGAAGCTTTCTTTGCACGGGCATGCCCAGTGTTAAGGAGAGGAGGAGGGGAACAAAGATCTCCTTACTTTTTCGGGTAATACATGTAAAATACTGACCGTGGGATCACGAGTACTGCACGGCAGGATTTGGGTCACTCAACTGTCCCACAAACTCGTTTCTATCGTATCCCGTTGTTAGTGGGACCATGCTCCTGGAGCGAGATCCCACTAGCCATGTATGTGGATTAGTGCGACGGGTGTGGGACGGGTGGGGGACAGGTGGGTGGCAGCGTGAAATGGGGAAAATAAACACAAAAAACCATTTCATGACCAAACAAATGAAGAAAAAACTGCTAAAAAAGAAAAGAAAGTGCTCTTCTCACAGATGGTGTCTGCTCCAGGCGGGGTGTCAGATGTCCGGGTATGATTCACTGACCATGGCTGTGGCAGTCGAGACGAGTGCATGTGAGTGGGCACACGGACCATATTCATTGACAATAGTTTGAGAAATCCACAAGGATGCGCTCATTCCACCTGTCCTTGGGGACGGAATTGAAAAACCAATGTGAAAACGCCACAAGGAAAATTCCTTGTGGCGTCCTTGTGGCCTCAGCCAAAATTTCCTGGAGCTCAAGGAACCTTGATTCACAGAGTGGCGAAGACATGCGTCGACGGAGAGTTTCGGTTCTTGGGTGGTCTTGATGTGGTCCAATGGCGTTAGCACGGACATGCCTGCCCTCCAAAGTCTGCGTAGTCCCCCAACGGGCCCCAACGGCTACTGTTGGTGGTGGGCCTCCACCGGGTGGCATCGTCGTTTTCAGTTGGCATCATGCGGTCTCCCGCACTCAAGGAACGTCCGCAATGGTTGGGAAAATATTTTTTTCCCGGAGCCGCCTTCATTCCGTTCACAGAAGAGGTTTCTGCACGAGCGTCGTATTCCCACGCATGTCATCACGTGCAGCACGTCCGACAAGACTCTTGCCTTCTCTGTCGTCGTGTGCCACATGTCCGACAACAGACATGGCATTGTTGCCCTCGCCACCGTGCAGTTCATGGCCGACCTGTACCGCAGGCTCCCTCTGTTGCTCCACGTCGCTGTGCTGCTTCTGGTAGTCCCTCTGCTGCTCCTCGACGTTGTGCTCCTTCTCGTTCAAGTAGTCATCCATAGCGTCGTCGCATTGTCGAAGGTCTTCCCACGCCCCCCCCGTCCTGCATTTGATCCACCACCTCGGTGTCGCTCATGGAATGGCGTCGCAACCCAACGTGTAGCACAGCTTAATGACAGCCTCCGAAGTTGTCACGTAGTCCGGGCCGTCATCCGCAGCTTGCATGAGTGTTCTTTTTCTGCACGCGCGCAAATGCTCCTTCATCCGTCCCAGTGCCCCCTCCTGATGACAACGAAGAACAATGGTTGACATGGCTGCCACCAAGGCTGCCCGCTCAAGCAGTGTCAACAACGCATGTCCGCCCTCTCCGCCGCCTTCCATCACCACCACCTCCACGGAGATGGCATCTCACCTCTCCGCTGCCGTCTTGATCCTCGCACCCCAAAGACCTAACCCGCTCACCCCTTGAGGAGAGTTGCCGTCTTGATCCTCGCACCCCAAAGACCTAACCCGCTCACCCCTTGAGGAGAGGTCCGAGAAGTTGCAGCCTTTCCGTAGATGTTGTCCCCCTGGCGGTGTCGAGCGCATCGGTCCCACACCACGCAGGGCGGGGCCCTCCTGGCCGCGTCACGCAGGAGTTGGTCTGATCCTCGTCGCGAATACACATGGAGTTTCCGCAAGCCGCTTCGGCCGAGTGCGCCAGCCATACCTCGCGCGAGCCCCTATGACAGGATAGGGCCAACGCAAGGCACGACTTACCTCCACCTTACAAGAGTTGTCACCTCCCTTCAGTGGGCGTATCCCCGCCGAGCTACCAGTCCATAGTACAAAAGCTAATCAGTTGCAATCGCAGAGGTGGACCAGCCGAGGGCGTTTCTCGTTCGTTGTAGCATAGGGGGTACGCGCGGTTTTACGCCTCTATCGGACCCGCACGTGAACCGACGCACTGGGGGGCTGAAGTCCCAAGCGCGGCTCGTCATCGGTCGACTAGGACGTACCCTACTCACCACGCGTACACCACAACACTTAATAACATAAAAATAAATACACACACACACATACACGAAACGACACACAACAAACAACACAACAAAACACTCCTTGTCCCTTTTATAGTCGTCCAATAACCTTCCGACGCGGAAATCGGATAGGCGACGCGCGAGAGACTTAGTATAAAACCGCGCGGATGCAGGACCTTCCCATATCGGCTAGCAATGCATGAATACGCAAGCAGTCATAAAGATGGCATACTATGTAGTGCCCATAATCAAGCGGTCCCTCGTGGATCCGAGTACCGCTTATGACACTCAAGTGTCAAACTTGAAATATCGTGAAGGTCAGGCCTTTCACGATATTGCACGGCTAAAAGAACAGTCGTTCGGCCCCTGCGGCACCTTCGACCCTTAGGCTGAGTGTCTTGGTAAGCAGGGCAAATAGGCTATGTGCGGGGGGTGATCTCTTTCACGCATACCTTTAGGCATAGGCTATTCGCGGTGCATCAAAGATATAATTAAGCCCTCCTATGCCTAAAGGCTCTGCGCAGGCGCTGCCTTGGTTGCTTCTATTTCAGGGTGCGAACCTTCAGGCATAGGAACCTCCGCAAGACTGAGTATATTTTGCTTCACGGGATGGTACGTTATCTTCTACTTTGTTGGACTTTTCAGCTCCAGTGTCCTGTTTGTTTTCGAGATGGTCTTTCTACTCACAGTGTGGTGACAATCGTAGTCATTCTTTCTGAAGCAGCAATATCGACGTCATGTTTCATCATCATCATCATCATCGTCAGACACCATCATCAGCAACATCATCGTAGGTTGCATCATTTCTATTTTTCCTTTTATCTAGAAGCTCATTTTTTTATCTCCTCTCCTCTTCCTTTCTTTTTCCTTATCTCTTTTCTAGTTCCGCTCTCCTTATTCTCTGCATGTTGCCTCCATACACTCTTTGTCTCGCCTCTAATGTATTATCACTCCGCGAGGAGGAGTGAAGAAGGGGGGAGCAGAGATATGAAGGGTGTGTGTGGAAGGGGGCGGGAGAGGTAGGAGGGGATAAAAGAAGGATGGACAGGGGGAAGGTAATGGGAGCTAAAGTAGGGAGTGATGGGTTCTGGATAAAAAAAGGGATAGGGTGTGTGTGTGCTTATCTTGTTTTCTCTCTAGTCATTATTCTATAAATAATATTACTAAATCAATATATTTCGTTTACTAATCTCGTCGTCATCATTATCATCATCGTCATCATCATCATCATCATCATCATCATTGAGGTAAGTTTATCATCGTGCTATCCAATTATTAATCATCAATTTGACTACTAATCACATCATCACATTACCATCCTAACTAGTTTCTCTAACCAATATCCTAACTAAAGTCTCAATACATTCTTGATCTTTCTTATTTTGAAAACTTGAAATTTCTTGTCTAACTAACACAAATGGTCTTTTTGTATACCTAAAACTCCCTGTGAAAAATTTTGGATGATTTATTCCTAAATTCCTTCCCTATCTGTCAGCTTTTTTTCACGAGGATTTTTTTCCACAGACTCCCAGT